TTCATAGCAGCATTATTTGTAATAGCCAGAACCTGGAGGCAACCTAGATTCCCCTCAACTGAAGAGTGGATAGAGTAAATGTGGTACATTGATACAATGGAGTATTACTCAGCAGAAAAAAATGGATTCTTGAAATTCACAGGTAACTGGATGCTGGCATTCTTCTACCATTTGTTGAAGATGCTTTCTTTTTTCCTTTGTATATTTTTAGCTTCTTTGTCAAAGATCAGATGTTCATACATGTATGGGTTAATATCAGGGCTTTCAATTCGATTCTATTGGTCTACCTGTCTATTTTTGTGCCGATACCAAGCTGTTTTCCCAGAGCTTGAAGTCAGGGATGGTGATGCCTCCAGATGTTGCCTTGTTGAGTAAGGTTGTTTTGCCTATCCTGGGTCTTTTGTTTTTCCATACAAAATTGATTACTGTTCTTTCAAGGTCTGTGAAGAATTGTGCTGGTATTGTAATGGGGGTTGCATTAATCTGTAGATTGCTTTTGGCAGAATTGCCATTTTTACTACATTGATCCTACCTATCCAAGAGCATGGAAGATCTTTCCATTTTCTGAGGGCTACTTTAATTTCTTTCTTTAAAGACTCAAAGTTCTTCTGATACAGGTCTTTCACTTGTTTGGTTAGCATTACCCCAAGGTATTTTATGTAGTTTGTGGCAATTGTAAAGGGTGATGTTTCTCTGATTTCTTTCTCGGCCCTTTTATCGCCTGCATATAGTAGGGCTACTGATATTTTTGAGTTTATCTTGTAGCCTGCCACTTTGCTGAAGGTGTTAATCAGCTATAAGGGTTCCCTGGCAGAATTTTTTGGATCATTTATGTAAACTATCATATCATCTGCAAATAGTGAAAGTTTGACCTCTTCCTTTCCAATTTGTATCCTGTTGATCTCCTTTTGTTTTCCTATGGCTCTGGCTAAAACATCAAGTAGAATATTGAAAAGGTATGGAATGAGTCACAGCCTTGTCTTGTTCCTGATTTTAGAGCAATTGTGGTGAGTTTCTTTCCTTTTAGTTTTTTGTTGGCTGTTGGCTTGCTGTATATAGATTTATTATGTTTTGTATGTTCCTGTTATCCTATATCTACCAAGACCTTTGTCATGAAGGGGCTTTGGATTTTGTCAAAAGCTTTTTCTGCATCTAGTGAGATGATCATGTGATTTTTGATTTTCAGCTTGTTTGTATGGTTGATTACTTTGATGGATTTTCGTATGTTGAACAATCCCTGCATCCCAATATTACAGCTACTTGATCGTGGTGAATGATTGTTTTGATGTGTTCTTAGATCTGATTTGCCAGTATTTTATTGAGTATTTTTGCATCAATGTTCATGAGGGCTATTGGTCTGAAGTTCTCTTTCTTAGTTGTGTCTGTGTGTGGCTTGATGATCAACGTTATTGAAGACTGGTAGAAAGAGTTTGGCAAAGACCCTTCTGCTTCTATTGTGTGGAATACTTTGAGAAGAATTGGTATAAGCTATTCTTTGAATTTCTGGTAGAATTCTGCAATGAGGCCATCTGGACCTGGGCTTTTTTTGGTTGGGAGACTTTTTATGACTGCTTCTATTTCCAAAGGGGTTATAGGTCTATTTAAATTGCTTATCTGTTCTTGATTTAATTTTGGCAAGTGATAGCTATCCAGGAAGTCGTCCATTTCCTTTAACTTTCCTAATTTTGTGGAGTACAGGTTTTCAAAGTATGATCTGCTGATTCTCTGAATTTCCTCAGAGTATGTCATTATGTCCACCCTTTCATTTCTGATTTTGTTAATTTGCATGTTCACCCTGCCATTTGGTAAGTTTGGACAAAGGTTTGTCTATCTTGTTGATTTTCTCAATTAAACAACTCTTTGTTGCATTGATTCTTTGTATTGTTTTCCTTGTTTCTACTTTATTGATTTCAACCCTCAATTTGATGATTTCCTGGCATCTACTCCTCCTGGGAGAGTTTGCTTCTTTGTGTTCTAGAGGTTTCAGCTATTCTGTTAATTCTCTAGTATAACTATTCTCCAGTTTCTTCATGTGGGCACTTAGTGCTATGAACTTTCCTCCTAGCACTGCCTTCAAACTGTCCCATAGATTTGGATATGTTGTGTCTTCATTCTCATTGAATTCTAGGAAGTCTTTAATTTTTTTTATTTCTTCTTTGACCCAGAAATGGTGCAATTGGGCATTATTCAATTTCCATGAGTTTGTAGTGTTTCTGCAGTTTGTGTTGTTGTTGAATTCTAATTTTAATTCATGGTGGTCTGATAAAAAGCATGGATATTCCAATTATTTTGTAGTTGCTGAGGTTTGATATGTTGTTAAGTATGTGGTCGATTTTTGAGAAGGCTCCATGTGGTGGTAAGAAGAAGGTATATTCTTTTTTATGTGGATGGAAAGTTCTGTATATGTCTGTTAATCCCAATTGGGTCATAACTTCCATTAGACCATTTGCTTCTTTGTTGAGTTTCTGTCTGGTATTCCTGTCTAGTGGTGAGACTGGGGAGTTGAAGTCTCCCACTATAAATGTGTGGGGCTTTATATGTGATTTAAGTCTAGTAATGTTTCTTTTATGAATGTGGATGCCTTTGGGGCATAGATGTTCATAATTGAAACTTCATCTTGGTTGATTTTGCCTGTGATGTGTATGTAATGACCTTCTTCATCTCTTTTGATTGATTTGATTTTAAAGTCTAATTTGTTAGATATTAGTATTGCTACTCCTGCTGTTTTCTTGGGTTCATTTGATTGGAAAATCTTTTCTCAATCTATAACTCTCAGGTAATTAATGTCTGTCTTTGAGGGTGAGGTGTGTTTCTTGTATGCAGCAGAAGGATGGGTTCTGTATTCGAGTCCATTCTGTTAGCCTGTGTCTCTTTATGGGTGAGTTTAGGCCATTAATATCGAGGGATATTAATGAACATTGATTGCTCATTTTCTTTGATTTGTATGGTTGTTGTTGGTGGAATTATGTGTGTAATTCCACCCCTTTTTCTTTTGGCTATTGGTAAAGTGGGATTATCTAATGCTTATGTTTTTCTGGTTGTAGTTAACTTCCTTGGGTTGGAGTTTTTGTTCCAGAACTTTCTGTAGGGCTGCTTAGTGGATATGTATTGCTTGAATCTAGTTTTTTCATGGTATATCTTGTTTTCTCCATCTATATTGATTGAGGGTTTGCCGGGTATAGTAGTCTGGGCTGGCATCCATGGTCTCTTAGTGTTGGTAGAATATCTATCCTGGACCTTTTGTCTTTCAGAGTTTCCATGGAGAAGTCAGGTTTAATTTTGATAGGTTTGTCTTTATATGTTACTTGGCCTTTTTCCTTAGCTGCTCTTACCATTCTTTCTTTAGTCAGTATATTTGGGGTCTTGATTATTATATGGCAAGGGTACTTTTTTGTGGTCCACTCTATTTGGTGTTTTGTAAGCTTCTTTTACTTTCATTGGCATGTCTTTCTTTAGGTTGGGAAAGTTTTCTTCTACGAATTTGTTGAATATGTTTTCTGCCCCTTTGAGGTGAGGTGTTTTTCTTCACCTTCTTCTATACCTATTATTCTTAAGTTTGGTCTTTTTATGGGGTCCCATGTTTCCTGGATGTTTTGTATTAGGGATTTGTTGGAGTAAAGATTTTCTTTGGTTGATGAATCAATTTCTTCCAGTGTATATTCAACCCCTGAGATTCTCTCTTGCATCTCTTTTTATTTGGTTGGTAATGCTTGTATCTGTAGTACCTGACCATTTGCCCAGCTTTTCTATTTCCAGTCTTCCTTCAGATTGTGTTTCCTTATTGTCTCCATTTCAGTTTTCAACCCTCACACTGTTTGAATTGTTTCTTGCAATTTTTGCTTTGTCTTTCAATCCATTTGTTGCATTTTTTGTTTTTTTTCTTCCATTTCTTGCATTGTTTTGTTTTTTTTTGCCATTCTTGCATTTTTTGGTTTGTTTTTTCCTCTATTTCTTGCATTTTTTTGGTTTGTTTTTTCTTCCATTTCTTTGAGGTATTTTCCTATATCCTATTTTAGGGCCTCTATCATTTTCATTAAATTGTTTTTAAGGCCATTATCTTCTGCTTCATTTACATTGGAATGTTGTTATCTTGCTGGTGTGGAGTCTCTAGAATCTGGTTATGCAATATTTGTTTTTCTGTTACTGAATGTTTTTGTATTGTCTCTTTCCCATCTCTTCTTCTAGTAGGTGCAGAAAGAGCCCCTTTCTTGTCTGGTGGTTAGTGGAACAGAATTCCCTTTCAGCGGGTGTGAGCAAGTCCAATACTCTTGTAGTTCTGCTCTTCCAGGTCCTAGTCCTGGTCCTGAATCAATCCAATGCTCACAGCGTGATATTTCGTTGAAGCTTTATCCCTTTGAAAACTTACCCTATGGAGTTTCATGGTCTATTTTGTCTTTTGCACAGATTCTCATCAGACTAGCCTGGTTAGATCTCACTGTGTTGCCCAGCCATGAGACATTTCTCCTATGTGCCACATTTATTTATTTTTCTTATTTTTAAAATGTGTTTATTATATAAGGCATCATGTCAACTTTAGTGTAAAATTATCTTTTGGTGATACTAAAAATTAACTGTACTCGAAGATGAAAACTCAACAGTGTTGACTATATAAAGCGTTTCGTTTGATCAAGAGAACATTTTTACTTTTATTTTTATTACATTTATTTCTTTTGTGAATGTATATATGTGTTTGCCCAGGTTATAGCATATGTGTAGTTAGAGGACAGTTGAAGGAGTCACTTTATTCATGTACTGTGTAGTATTCTAGATTTGAACTTAGGTTGTTAGGTTTGGAGGCAATGACTTCTATCCACTGAGCCATATCAGTGGCCCAATACCCTTTTTAAAATGAACTTAGAGAAAACAAATACCATTTCTAAAACACAATTATTCTATATTCTGTATATTTTTGTCAATAAACATTGTCTAGAAAATCATATCCGTCATCAATATGAGCTTCAAATTTTAATAACAGCCCTTTATATGTTTTGTTTTTATAGTGATTTGATGAAAATATCCTCACTACAGAAACATAGAAACTGTGCATTTCTCAGTTTTAGAGGTATAGAACCTGAAGACTGTGGTAGAACCCATCCCTGTATCTGTGAAAAGAGAATGGATAAATTCCCTGATTTGGAGTACCATATGAAGGAAGAGTAAAAATGGAACATTTTGTCATCTTTCTTGGTATCCTGTGATGATTTGTGACTATTCAATGACTGAGTGTTTTAACCACCAGACTCCATCATCTGGGAAAATATGGCAATGTGCTGGAAAGGAAAGAAATATTCTGCTGAAATCTAACTTAACACACCTGAAGCTATCTTTTTTCCTACTAACCATAGCAGCTCATGTCTGGGAAAATGAATGTCCTTCACTCAGTACACCAAGGATTGACTCCTTGTTTCCTGGATGACACACAGAACCAAATACAGAATCGTGATTAATAGAATCCTGATAAATAGCTCATGTAACTCATCATCACTAGGATAAACCATTTCTATATACCATTGCTTTAATATCACAATTAAGAAATAGGATGCAGTTTGGGGATTCTGTTTGTCAGTTGTTTGTGTTTTTGTAGGTAGAAGAAGTGATATTTAGAAGGGATTTATTTTCTGTAAAATACAATTACAGATGTGATGAATAGTTTCCAGGTTAGTTCAAGAAACTCATATAGACATCCATAGTTCATATGTGTCTCATTCTCTCTCTCTCTCTCTCTCTCTCTCTCTCTCTCTCTCTCTCTCTCTCTCTCCCTCTCTCTCTCTGTATCTGTCTCTTCATGTCTGTTAAGTTGAGACCCCCTAGATACAGTAATAATCATTGAGGTCAGCTGGATGTCATGGTACAGACATATAATCTTATATGTACACGACTGTAAATGCACTCTAGGCTACACAGTATGTTTGAAGCTAGCATGAACCAGAGAATGAGACTCTGTCTCATGAAGCAAAACAATAATGATGAAGATGATAATAACTCTAAACTTTCTATAAATATTTTCCAGGGAATTTCTATTTTATCATCATACTAAAATGAAAAAGGAGCTTAGTAATGACCTAGTAGTATGATCTACTTCATAATCCATATTAAAAATTGTCCATTTTCTGTATTAGTATTTCCTCACTTTCACTATCATTAGTGCTTTCACTTGCAATGTACTTTAGCTAAAAATGGTTATCAACTTGTGATGTCTTTATTTTGTTGATCGACATTAGAGATATCAAATTTCACCTTCATGTGTGAATGTAATAAAATGTCTCCACTGTAAGCCATGAGAAATATGGATATGTACATCTCTTTCAAGAACCATTGTTCAGGCTAGTTTCATGTCAACTTGACAAAACCTAGATACATCTGAAAAGAGGGAACCTCAATTGAGAAAGTGCCTTAGTAAGATCTGGCTGTAGGCAAGCCTATAGAGCATTGTCATAATTAGTGATTGATTAGGTGGTCCCAGCTATTTGTATGTGGTGTCATCCCTGGGCTGGTGGTCCTGAGTTCTATAAGAAAGCAGGCTGAGAAATCCAATGGAGACTTCCAGTAAACAGCATCCCTCCATGGTCTGTTAATCAGCTCTTGCTTCCTAGTTCCTGCCAGGTTTGAATTCCTGTCTTGACTTCCTTCTATGATGAGCAGCAATGATGAAGTGTAAGTCAACCTTTTCCTTCTCTATAACTTGATTTATAGTCATGGTGTTTGTCCAACAATAGAAACCCCAACTAAGAAAACAATCAAACCATAACAGGGCAATATTTTCTACCCAAAGTTCTTTTCTACTCCTTTCCCTACTTGGGTCATGGAAAGCAGACATGTGCTCCCTAGTATTGTAAATAGTATGGCATAGTGCAGAGTGTCATATACTATGTGTTAATTTGTATTCAGCTCCATATTTCTCTGAATCTTTTACTACTAATATTATCTTATTTTATAAGTTACTCAAGTTTTTTTTCACAGATAAGTGGTCCATTTCTCTTGTTACAATGCACTGTGGTATTACACATATATGCCATGATATTTCTCCATTCACATGTGAACATGTAGTGTTTCTAAGTTTTATCAATGTGAATAAATGTCTCACTTCAATTTGTGTGTAAGTTACTGTGTGAAATACATTTTATTTTATTTTTATTTTGTTAGGAATCTAGAATTCTGATATCTATGTTCCAAGGTTAAGTGCAGTTTCATTTCACAAGGAATTTATAGTGTTTCAAATGGCTTACATCATCTAACTTTCTATGCAACATGACAGATTTCCCTGTGTTCTTCATCTTTGCCAACACTTGTTATCAATGCTTTGAAATCTTACCATCTTGATGAACTGAGTAATTCTCATTTCTCTAAGAACTAATGATTCCAAATATCCTTTTCAAGTATTCATTGCTCATTCATCTTTTCCTTTGTCAAATATCTGTTCATATTTTCCCACCTCCTATTGGGTTTGCCTGTCTTCTAATTGTAACATTGAAAGAGGGATATATATATATATACATGGGTACAAAATATTTGATAGAATTATATAGAATATCTTTCCTACTGTCTAATTTACATGTTCTGAAATAAATCATTCAACAGTATAAATTTTAACATTTCATTTATTTAGTCATATCACTTTTTCATGCTTTCAAAATTAGTCATTGTTTATATTCAAATTTCAGAGGTCTTATCAGTATTATTTTTCCTAGATATTATATAGTTTCAGTTTACATGTTTAGCTCAAAGTAATTTTTCATTTTGATTTTTTTCATTTATGCAGTTCTCTTTGTAAGTTTTTCATCATGTGCCAAGTGTACATTGGTAATTCTGAGGTTAGAAGAGGGTATTAGATCACTGGAACTGGAGTTTTAGGAGGTGGTCAGCAACTCAGGTACTGGGAACTGAACTCATGTCCTCTTTATGAGTAGCATACAGGTATGAGTCAGAACAGATGCTCATTGGATACTTCCTGTGTGTTCATCAATGCATTGGGCATTTAAAGAAGACTTTGCTTTTAAGAGTAGTTTTTTAAATTTTGAATGCATTTTAATTGAAAATAGAATTTTTAGAATTGTATATTCTTATTATGATTTCCTTTCAACATCGTCTCCAATATCCTTCCAACTCCCCTCTCCTACACAATTCCACATTCTTTCTATTCAGGATACAAACAGTCATCTAAAAATACAATTAAATATAATTTTAAAAAATCAGAAATTAACAAAACAAACAAACAAGAAAAAGAAACCAAGAGAAAGTTCAAGAAGCATAATTATATTCAGAGACAGATTTATTTACACACAGAAAAACTCTATACCCACAAAACTGGGAAGCATAAAGTATAACCAAAGTACTTAAAGGAAACAAAAAGGCCTAGAGCATATTAGAAAACAAAGAGCTTCCAAAAATACCATTTAACTCATTTTGTGCTGGCCTTCTACTGCAGGGCATGGCCCCTGGCTTTGAAGTATTTGTATACCGATTGAGATTCTAGGAGAACACTCATTTTCATTTCCAAGTGGTATCAATTTAGAGAGCTTCTGTTTCATGGCTGTGTGCTTCTGTCCACTTTCACTTCACAACACAGCCACATTAGGCCCCGACACATGCATGTGCTGAGTATGATGCCAAGGTTCTGTAATGTCCTATGTGTATCAGACATGTTGTCTCAAAAAGGCCTCATTTTTTTGATGTCCTCTATTCTCTCTGGCTCTTGCACATTTTCTGAGTTTTCTCTCAGGATTCCCTGAGCCTTGAGCAGAAGCAATTCATTTAGACATATATTTGGAACTGAACTCTCACTTCCTGCATACTGCTTGTAGGTCTCTGTATTTGTTCCCATCTACCACAAGAAGAAGCTTCTCTGGTGATGTCTGAGCAAGGCACAGATTTACAAGTGATATATTCTGGGCAACTAAGGAAAATGGAAGAAAAAAAAGGAGAATAAAGTCCCCAACTAAGTGAGGGAGGGGTTATGTGAGGTTACGTGATCAGAAGCTCAGACCCATGAGCAGCTACAACAGCATCTGCAGCTGCTCCCTTAGCCCACAATCGTAGGATGTGCTCCGGCCATGGAATCCCAGAGCACAGATGTGCCGATTAATTCTACCTAACCAAAGGCAGTCATTGTCTACTCAAGGCTCTTGCCTTATGATAAATTTGTATGAAAAGTTGGTATGCTATAACTATGTATAAAGACTTACTGTACTAAATAATCTCTGTAACTATGGGAACCCTACTGAGACTTGCAGCCTCAGGACTCTTTCTCCCTTCTTCTCAAGGCCTTTTCTTCTGATAATTTTTGGTATGCTAAGTAATCTGTATAACCATGGGAACACTGCTGACTGGGACTTGAAGACTTGGGACTCTCCCTTCCCCTCCTTTTTTCCTGTAAAAGTGCCTTGCATTTGTAGCTCCCAGACATCTACCCTCCAGACATAGTTGAGCCCCAGCTAGCTGGTTTTCCAGAAATAAATGAAACATCTTGTATTTGCATTCAGTGTCATTAAGCTCCTTGAAGCCTTGGGGTTCTCTCTGAATGTGCACAACATGAATAGAACAGAATGCCATTAAGAGCCATTTCATTGTTAAGTTCCTTTATTAGAACAGTACTATTTGGTTTTCCCATGGATCCATGGCCTGTCCAGACTCAGGTGTTTGAACCCCCAAACTTTTTTGAGTTTGGGTTCCACAAATCATATTTGTCATTACTCCTACAAGTTTTGTGCCATTATTGAACCAGTTGATCTGGTTGGAAGGTAAATCTTGTAGAATGAGAGGTTTGTAGGGGGTTTATAATCTTTCTCCTTTGGTAGCATGAAGAGTACCTTCCAGAAGTTTTATACTCTACCAAAGACTAGGAAAGCATTCTGAGTCCTAGGTAAAACTGTCCCCATACCTCACCCATGCCAGAGGCCAGGACAGCATTCTGAGTCCTAGGTAAGGCTGTTCCCACACCTCACCCACACCTGCACAGCATAACTCCATCTGTGCTTCCTGTCCTTGTCACAACACTCTAGTTTAAACCACTGGAAGAAGCCTCTTCTTCCACTAGAGGACAGCTAGCCAGGTAAGACTGACTCCCAACCCTGCCCTTGCTTGCCCAGCATAATTTCAACTGCCCCTCCTCTCCTTATCACCGTATTCCTGTCCCTAACTCTGGCAGAAGCCTTCCAACCCACCAGAAGACAGGTAAGCTACACCCCACCCACCCCAAACACACCAGCCTGTGCCTTGCGAGAAAAATCCCAAGTGCCCCTCTTCTCCTTGGTGCCTTATTCCAGCCCACACCTCTAGTGGAATTCTCCAACTCTATCAGAGGCCAGGCCACATCCTGAACCCATGCAAGACCACCCCTACATCCTACTCATGCCTGTCCAATATAACACCAGCCACCTTTCCTTTCATTGTCACTACAATGGCTAAAAACTTACTATGTAACACAGGCTGGCCTCAAACTCATATGCCTATAATATTATAAGCTTGAGCCATCACAGTTAGCTGACATCAATGAATATTACCAAATTTATGGGGCTCCAACTAATCATAAAAATGGATCAAGTAGAGGGAAGGAGAGAGATAGAATGAGAACACATATGAAATATGGATAATTGTATGAGTTTATTAACAAGACTGGCAAATATTCATGTATGAAATTATATTTTGAGCAAATAAGTGCTTTTTAAAAGATGATAAATAATTCTGCCTGCAAAATACAAACAAATACTAAGCAAAGCATCCAAATAAATCAAACAGAAACCCGCAACTGCATACTTGTTCTTAATTGTGATGTCATAGCCATGGGTTATTGAAATCGTTTGTCTTAGATATGATGAGGTATGCTCACTCTTTATTAGGGTTCTGTATTTTGTTTCGTGTGTTGCTCAGCAAATAAAGAGAGTGATTGCTCAGGCCTGGGAGCAAAGAGTATTGTCTTACCAGACACAACCTGCTCTGCTTACCAGGAAGGAAGAAGGCTTCTGCTCTGTTAAGTCAGATTTCAGAAGATGATTTCATCGCTTTCCAGTTCATAAAACACTTTGCACAGTGAGCAGAGTCCTGGAATGAAAGCATCAGTCATCAAATTATTACAGATCATCACAGGAAACACATGAAATTACAAGGTTCCATTTTACCTTCCCTTCCAACTGTGCACTGAATCCGGGAATTTATCCATCCACCCTTTACATATACAACCACTGATTCTACCACAGTCATCACTACCTATAACTGTTGAACTGTGAAATGCAGACTCTTGTGTCATGCAGTGATTTCTTTACTGCCAAATCACTATAAAACAAAAACACAATGAGCAATTATTAAAATTTGAAGCTAGTCTTCATGAGGCAATTAATTGTAAAAACGAAGGGTTTTTCAACAAAATGTGTAGAATATGAAATTAATCACTTAGTGTAACATTAAAAGATTAGTGGGTAGGGTATGTTACCACAAAACTTGACAGCCAAAGTTTAGATCTCAGATGCCACACAAGAAGAGAGAAGTAACTTCTTCAACTATCTTCTAACTACACATGTACTGCGAACTGTGCAGGCACATTCATATATAGTCACACAAAAACAAATGAATGGAATAAAATAAAAATGGTCTCTTGATAATAACACAAGTACTTATCTATTCCATACTGTTAAATTTTGGTCAGCAGGACAAATACATTTTTATTGTCACTAAGGGATAATTTTACACTGTGGTGATATTTTGTTTATGATATAACAAGTAAAGTTTACTTGAAGATCATAGTGCAAAGGTAACCACAATAGTTAGCCATAGAGAACAGGCAGCGGTGGCACACACCTTTAATTGCAGCAGCCACAATGGTTGTCCATGGAGGCCAAGCAGTGGTGGTACACAACCTTTACTCAGAGCAATCAGGAGACAGAGGTAGCCAGATCTCTGTTAGTTCAAGGCCAGCCTGGGCTACACAAATTGAGCCATTCTAAAAGAGAAACAGAGTTGATTAAAAGGTGATCCCAGCACTTCGGGTGTCTCTTCTTTATTCCATCACTATGGAGGTAGAGACAGAAAGGGATATGGATGGGCAGAGAGAGGAATTTAAGGGTGAGGAGACAGAAGTTCAGGGTAGTCTGAAGCAT